ATATAAATTACTATGAATTTGATATGGTAATTAATACTGAGACACTAATTTGGGCAAAAAGCACTAATGACTTGTTTAAGACTTGAATCTTAAAGCTGAGGACTTTCAACTCGACTTGGACTTGTCTGTCTTGACTCGGGACTTGACTCGAGACTTGAATGCAAAGACTCGAGACTTACTTGTGAATTGCAAAACAATGACTTGGTCCCATCTCTGGCTTATAGTGCTACTATAAAGCTAATAGTGCCATTATTCAGCGCATGTCAGTTCAGTGTTGATTCAGTTCAGTTCAATAATTTTGCAAAGTTCATTAAATCATGAAATGAGCTATAAGCAGCTCTACAGAAGAAAACCGTGTCATTATAAAGCACAAGTCAGTCCAGTGTTGATTCAGTTCAGTTCAATAACAGTGTCAATGTTGCAGAGTTCATCAATTATGATATGAATGTGATTGAGCGATACAACAGCTCTACAGAACTAGTCATTATCAGCTGAATTTAGTTTCTCATCCAATAGTGCTGTCAAATCAATAATATTGCTATATAATATATTAAGAGTCTTTAAAACCCCAACTGAGCAAACCAAATGTGGCAAGCAAGAAACCCAAACTCCATGAGAGAAGCCAGGCTTAGACCTTTACAATCATTTTGTTGGCCAAAATTTAGAAACCAAACATTTTTTTAATAATCTCTTCATACTATCAAAATAAGGCTTTAATTGTGTGATCTCCCAGAAAGTTGGTTTGCTCCAGATTGTACAGTCATCGTCAAACACAACTAAGAGAATATAGCATGTAAATGCACATATGAAAATATAGAGTTTAACATATGGATGTGCTATGATAACTGTCTTTGGTTTTGTTCATCTGGAGCTGGAAGTGAATGAGACTGAATCAAAAAACTTGAAAGGTTTTGACTGATATCTCTCCTGCTCTGTTCTCCAGAGTGCCAGAGACATCGAGAACAAGATGAGAAATGAGACACGGCTAAAACTCTTTACACTGGACCCAGACTTACAGGTACAGCAAATCAGCATCTTAGCATGATTTCTGAAAGATCGTGTGACACTGAAGACTGGAGTAATGATGCTGAAAATTCAGCTTTGCGTCACAGGAATAGAGACTTTTTTTCAAAAATTGTCCTGACCCAAAACTTTTGAACGGTAGTGTATAAAAATATGTCGATAGATGAATCTCATGAACTCATCCTCCACAGAAACTGGATTTCTCCGGGATCGAGCCAGATGTGAAGCCCTTTGAGGAAAGGTTTGGAAAGCGAATCTTGGTGAACTGTAACGACCTGTCCTTCAACCTGCAGAGCTGTGTGGCGGAAAATGAAGAAGGGCCGACCACTAACGTACTTTACCTTACTAGCTATAGTTTCCAGCCATTTCCATCACAGTAAACCAACTTCTGAGAGTTTCTGTACTGGTTTGCATTGCAGGTCGAGCCCTTCTTCGTCTCTCTGTCGTTGTTTGATATTCAAAGTGGACGCAAGATCTCCTCAGACTTCAATGTGGATATGAACCATCCGTCTGTGAAAGCGCTGCTGCCCCCGTCAGGAGCTCACAACAGGACCGCAGCGCCAGACAGTCCACAAGCAGCTCAACCGACAGCCAACAGCCTGACAGAGAGCGCCATTCAGTTTCCACGACAGGTGAGGACACACAGAACAAGAGATCCAATCTCCGTCAACAGCAACTGTGACCTGCTATTGATAGACACACAAAATCATTTTGGTTCATCCCTCAAATGAAAGCCATTTACATAACATCAGTTCTGATCATAATGACCAAAAATCCATTTATTTTTATGATTCTAGCCCTTTGTTTTTTTATGGAAAAACACACACAATATATCACACATTTTCCAAATACTAAATGCTGAGTACTTTTATTTTATTTCATTCGATTCGATTCGATTCAATTTTATTTTATTTTATTCTTATTCTATTATTTTATTTAATTTTTTTAATTAATTTTTTTATTTAATTTTAATTTTTTAATTTTATTTAATTTTATTATTTTACAGTCTTTGGATAGGTCAATGCTTAGAAACAATAATAATTGTAATACATTATTATTTTTTTGTGCAGTGTCAGATCTTTTGCCAATATGATGCCATTAGGTGGAAAATAGTAAAAAAAAATTGAAAATAGTACAAACCTTTCAAGCCTATTAATAAAGAATGTATATTTTTATGCGTAGATGGCACTGGAAGTAAATGTTTTAGTTTCAGTGACTTTCAATAGGATCATTTTGTTGTTAAGGCCCTGAGTGTAACTGTCCTGAGTGTCAGGTTTTTTGTACCTAGTGTAAAATAGATTTATGAAGGGAAATGATGGTGAAATATTAAAATTCTAATAAAAAGACACATTTCTGGCACATTTTATGCTGTTTGCATTAACACAAACAAAGAAAAAGACAAAAATGTCCCTAAGGACGCACCTGGGGTAATGTTTAATTCTCTTCTGCACACCAAGGCTGCATTTATTTAACTAAAAAATATAGTAAATGCAATAACATTGTGAAATATTATTACAAAAACAACGTATTTAGATTTTAATACATTATAAAATGTCATTTATTCCTTCAGAAATCATTCTAATATGTTGATTTGCTGCTCAAATGAACATTTCTTATTATCAATTATATTTCTGTAGAAACCGTTGCTTTTTTCCCAGTCACTTTACTGTTAATTATCAATTTAATGCATCATTGCTAAATAAAAGCATTTCGTTTAAAAAATATGACTGACCCCCAAACACTTGTGTACATTAAACATTACTACCCTTGTTTGTGAAAATCTTTTACATTCAGTTTTACTAATCATTTCTGTCTCTAGGGAGTGTTTTCGGTGACCTGTCCGCACCCTGACATCTTCTTGGTCGCTCGGATAGAGAAGGTCTTACAGGGTGGAATAGCACATTGTGCCGAGCCTTATATGAAGAACTCAGACTCTGCTAAGGTAGCGCTGCTGCTGCTGCTGTTGTGTGTGTGTGATATCACTTTTAGGCCTCTGGAAATGTGGATAAAACCAGATGTTGGCAAGTGTTTTTAAAGCTCTCAGATTTCTGGAACAGATACTCAGATACACTAGCCCTTCTCTGCCTAGAGACCCTTCATGCTATTTCCATTCTGGGTGTGTTATAGTAATATAATTCAGATACAAATAAACGTTTTCGAAGTCCCATTTGAAATGGCATGCTTTGCAATCCTAATTACAGAGCTGCTTTTCTTTAAAAGTGCAGTTCTTTTCTTTCCCCTCTCCTCAGGCTGCTCAGAAGGTTTTAAAGAACGCTAAGATGGCCTGCAGCCGGCTGGGTCAGTACCGAATGCCGTTTGCATGGGCCGCTAGGTGAGACACACTGACTTTTTATTAGAATAAGCTCTTGAAAGTCACACACAGATGGTGGAAGTCACTTATTATGGTTACATGCCATGAGCAGGACAGTTCTGAATGTGAGATTGTGGAGGATACGGCAGACTATGTGTCCACACTGTTCCACTGTGGAAATCCAGGCAACTCGCTTACTGAACTACGCTGTGCATCTGGATAAGTGCCACTTTTAACAACTAAATTGTTAATAATTTTCATATTGTATACCAAAATCTAAAGAAATAAGAAATTATATTTTACATGAAGAAATCTCATTTTTAAGGCCATTATGGTTTCTTTATATAGTAACATAATTAGACTACTGTAATATATTACTTAAATTTATTTTTTATTTTGCTTAAATTCTAAAGTATAATTTGTAAGTGTACAGTGTGGTAGTATTTATTGCACTGAATTTAGTTTATTAATAATGCAAGTAATTTTTTTTTTTTAAATGCGTCTCGACTGGAATTTCATTTTAGGGTATAGAATCGATGTCTTCTGTGAAGTGAAATGATAGTTGTCTGTGTGTGAGAAAAATACTAATATTTTAAAGTTCTGTTCATGAACGCACATATAGTAGTTGGCTGGAAGCAATGGCTTTTAGTTAAAATATTATTTTTTTCACAAACACCTGTCATTATGCTTCAAAAGACATTCTTCTCTTTCGGATGGAGAATCCATTTAATTGTCATTAAAATGTCACAATGCTTAAAAATTGTAAGTCTTAAAATAGGCTTTATTGCAAAATACATTTTCCTATTTTTCTTTTAATTTGGAGAAGAAATATGGTGTGATGTGTCCATTTTTTGTAAGATTTGTAACATGGTTTAATGCTCTTCTCCATCATTTGATTATAATTTGTACATATAAAAGGTACATAAACATCCCTTTAAAAAATCTAGTTTACCACCTGCTTTCTGTGGACAGTAATAATGCGTTTAAATCGCATTAATTGGAGTAGGTCAATGTAGTGAAACACATTATATATTGAGGTTTATTTGCATGGAAAAGTGGCACATTTGCCCTAAATAACTTAAAAGTATAATATGTGTGGTACAGTGCTTTACCAGTGCATATAGTGACTGGTTAAGTTGGACTGTGGATAGTATGAAAGCATCACTGAAACATCTCAAAGGTCTAAACTAGGGATGCACCGATGTATCGGCCGCCGATATTTATCGGCCTCAATTTAAAACTATCGGCATATCGGCTATATAAGGAAAAAGGCAGATATAACAAACCGCTGGTTTATTAATTAAATGCGTGAAGGCACTGAGCTGTATAATGTCTGTTGCATAATCCTAGCGCTGCTGTCTGCACTTTAATGCTAATCAAATAACAAAAGACAAAAGATCTCACACTATTCTTGACTAAATAACTTTTGTAACTTTCATAAGTGTAGCGGACCTCATCTGAATGATGACCAAAACTTTACTGATGTTAAACCTACCTAAAAAGCACTGTTTATTTAATATGTATCTTTGTTCTGTTGTATTTATGTAGGCCTGCTGAATGTTAAATGGATCCAATCCATGTTCATTAGAAATTATTTGATGATGCAGCAATAAAACTGCTAGTATAATTTAATGCAGGTGTTTTTGAACTTTGCTGATTTAAAACATGATCAAAATACTATCTATTTTGATGCCAAAATTTCAAATAAGAGAGGAAGTGACAAATATCGGTATCTGAATCGGCCAGTAAGTGTTTGTTAAAATCGGTATCGGTATCGGCCCCAAAAAATCCTATCGGTGCATCCCTAGTCTACACTATACAATGACTTCCAGCCTGAGTGTGTGAGATTTCAGTTTTACTGTAAAAGCAAGAAAAGTAGAATCAATAATGTTCAGGCAAATAATTGTACAACTGTTTTTGTTCTAGTAAAGGCTGTTGGTTGCTGTTTTTAAGCCATGCCATTAAGTTTATCTTTCCAGTGGGATGTTACAGATGAGCTGGGCAGGATGTGTGTGTCTGTGTGTGCTCTTATCTCTTTCATCCGAGTGGAAAAGTGGCATAACACACCAGCAGGATGAGCTTTGTGTCTGTTTCTCAGGCCGCTGTTTAAGGACGCCTCTGGGACGGTGGACAAGAGCGCTCGATTCTCGGCTCTCTACCGACAGGATGGCAACAAGCTCTCCAACGAGGACATGTTCAGACTGCTGGCAGACTTCAGGAAGTCAGTTCTACAGTCATACGCTCCAATAATAACACTCTTGTAGTGTTTCAGGTGTTTAGTGTTTGCATGACCTGCAGAACGATGTTGTACACACTCTTGTTCAGCTATTGTTTTTCTCTCTTCTGTCAGGGGTGTTGATATTTTAGAAACAGAATAGCCTCTTTGTCCCCTTGTTTATTTTCCCTCCTCCGTGCTTTCTCTTCTCTCAGGCCAGAAAAGATGGCCAAGTTGCCTGTGATTCTGGGTAATTTGGATGTTACGGTCGATAACGTCGCACCAGATCTCACTAGTAAGGCTTTCATATGCTTTTCTAAATGTCTCTCTGCATTAAATGCAAATTTGGATAGTTTCAGATCGACCACCTGCTGCTTCTCACTGATTGGTTGATCTCCTGTGTGTGCAGATTGTGTCACGCCCTCCTATCTTCCTCTTCGTCAGAAGGAAGACGCAGCAGACTGGAGCAGGATGGTGTTTGAGGTGGAGGAGTTTGTGCCGTCTATCGCTAAATGCTCCCAGCCTTTCACAATTTACAACAATCACCTGTATGTGTATCCACGCCATCTCAAATACGACAGCCAGAAGAGCTTCACCAAGGTAAAACAATGCTAAATGTCTTAACTCACAGCCTAGACTTGTTTTTCTATAGAGCAGGGGTGTCAAACTCTTGGAGGGCCACAGTCCTATTGAGTTTATGTTGTGTTTCATTTACCTCAGAAGTCAGATATCAGAGCTGGGAATGATTTCACACCCGAGTCAAGGTCAAACCGTGATGGATGCCTCCATTGTTAGCAATACCAATACTGCAAAAAAAATGATTTTCTTACTTAGTATCTTTGTCTTGTTTTCTAGTATAAATATCTAAAAATTCTTGAATCGAGATGCATTTACTTCACAAGTAAAATGACTTCTTAAGATAATAAGTTTTTTTTTCTAAAAATAATTGATCAAAATGTAGTTAGTTTTTGCTTAAAACAAGCAAAAATATCTGCCAGTGGAGTAAGAAAAATCTTAATTCAAAGGCTAAACAAGATTATTTTTCTTGCCCCATTGGCAGATATTTTGGCTTGTTTTGAAGGGGTCATCGGATGCCCATTTTCCACAAGTTGATATGATTCTTTAGGGTCTTAATGAAAAGTCTGTAACATAGTTTGGTTAAAATTTCTCAATGGTAGTGTAAAACAACACCGTTTTTACCCGGTCAAAAACAGCTCTGTCTACAGCAAGCCGTTTTATTGCATGTTGCTTTAAATGTAAATGAGCTCTGCTCGCCCCGCCCCTCTTTTCCGAGCCGCTCTCTGAGACACGGTAAACTTTAGCCACATTTATCGTGAAACTTGCTAATTAGCACATTATTAGGAAAGGCGATTTGCAAAGATTCATTAAAAAACCCTTCACTCACTTCTTCTGGGGGTGAAGCTGGATCACGAATGATTTGCGCGAACATAGATGCATTTAGGTAGATCGGGGGGCGCATTCCCTTCAAAAACAAACGTAATCCATTGTGTCTTCAGCGGCTCAGTTGTCGGGAGTAAATGACGACTGCTATGTTCATTATTACATCCAACAACAGAACACCTCAATCGCTTAGGAGTCATTCTTGTCTACATCTGCTCTGGTTCGCATCCGATGACCCCTTTCAGCAAAAACTAACAAAACATTTTCAGAAAACAAGACATGATATTTTAAGTCATTTTACTTGTAAAATAAGTGCATCTTGATTCAAGAATTTTAAAATATTTTTATACTAGAAAACAGGACAAAAATACTAAGTAAGAAAATAATTTTCGCAGTGAATCGATAAAACCATATAAAAAGCTGTATTTTGCACAGATAATGCTGAATTATCATGTGCACTGATAGAAGTTGGATAGTACTGTGTGCACCACTGAGTTTATTGAGACACAAGCTATATTTCCATCACCCTATTTTAATGCGCATTTTGAAGTATCGCATGAGAAACGAGTGATTGAAACGCCAAATTTCTAATAAAAATCTTTTAATTCGCAAAAAGGTTTTACGCTCGCTTGAGGTGGTTTTTGACTTGTGCGAAAAAGGGTTAATGCGAATAATGGGAGATGGAAATGCATTTCGCGAATAAATTCCTCCATGTGTATCAAAAAAGTCATGTGACTTTGCGTAATGGGACGGCATAACCTGACTAACCAGTGGACCGATCTCATTGCAAATCATCTGAAATGTTATGGTCATTCTGAAATGCCTGAACAAAGTCTGTCGTCAAAGTATTTCTGTAAAATCGCCTCCTTACACGACTGCGTTCCCAAAATCAATGAGCGCATTTATTGTGTTTCATCTGCTCGCTCTGAGGTGCAAGTAATTGATTATATATGAAAATTAATATATTCAGTGGCTTCTCCTACTTTTCTTAGTGATATTTAGTGCCAGTTTATCAGGAAGTGACGATTTTGTTCTCTTTGACTCGTTGGATGGAAACGATGCTTGTTCGCAAATGTTTTATGCGATATTCCAGGTTTGCGCATAAGTTAAATTCGCATCTTTGGATGGAAACATAGCTACTGTCTGCACATTTCATAAAATCTGACTAACCAGCGGACCGATCTCATTCCACAGCATCTGAAATGTTGTTATGGTCATTCAGAAATGCACGAGCAAAATCTGTCATCAAAGTATTTCTGTATAATTGCCTGCCAGAAATGTCTTACATGACTGCGTTCCCAAACAGCAGCATCCACCTCCAAAAGCAATGACCGCATTCATCATGTTTCGTCTGCTCGCTCTGAGGCGCAAGTAATTTATTATATATGAAAATGATTATATTCTCCTACTTTTCTTAGTGATTTATAGTGCCAGTTTATCAGGAAGTGATGATTTTGTTCTCTTCGACTTGTTGGATTGGAAACGATGCTTGTTCGCAAATTTTTTATGCGATATTCCAGTTTTGCGCACAAGTTAAATTCGCAACTTTGAGGCCATACCCGGCTACAGACAAACAGAAGTGCTAGCAAACAATATATTGCTGCTGTTGTTCATGTTTTATGAATGTTGACATGCTGAGTAGCCTTTTGGGATTCTGAACTCAAGAGTTTCCAAGTCGGAACTCTGACTTGAGAAGACATTCCATTTAAAAGTTCCTATTGGGAAAAGGAATTTCCAATTTCTGAGTACAAATGGATCAGCATTAGTTCAAACCCTGCACACATAACACACATACAATAAGCCTGAAGGACTTGATTAGCTGCATGCATTTAATTTAGGTTGAAGCTTAACTCTCCATGGCTGTGGCCCTCCAGGAACTTGAGTTTGAGAACATTAAGGGAAAAATGCAGAAATTGATCTGAACAAACATTCTTCTCAATATTTAAACATATGCAGTGGAAACTACAGGCAGTAACAAGTGTAATGAGGCATTAGGGAAATCTGAAAAGTTAAAAAATAAATGTTTACAAGCAACGGGACACTAGTGCTTTTCTGTTGCCATCAAACAAGGAGAGAGAAGGAATTTGATGTACCTCAAGAATAAATCAGTCAAACAGTCACTGCCAAAAACCTTCAAGGGCTACATCCAAAACACTAATTTGGCTTAAATACAGGATGGGGAGACCAGCTTCAGACGTTCATCCAGGCAATGTGCTACAGCAGGGATTCCCAAACTGTTCTAAAATATTTACTTAAAGGCCCCTGAGATTTTAAGTTAATATTTCAAAAATTTAACAATAATTGGACAATGCAATCACAGTTTACTGTTCTCTGATGTTGGTTAATTGGTGACATGACATGCAGGTAAACAACTAAAACATTTAGGCCTGGTTTCACAGACAGGGTTTAGACTAAGCCAGGATTAGGCCATAGTTCAATTAGGACATTTAAGTAATTTTTTATTAATGTGCCTTACAAAAAACATTACTGGTGTCCTTCTTGAGACAAAACAAAGGCATTGATATATTTTAAGATCAATCAGTGCAAGTTTCTTTCAGAACTTGAAACAGCTCAGATTTACATTTTAGTCTGGGACTAGGTTTAAGCCTCATCTGTGAAACCGGGGGTTACACTTTTTTAACATGTTTAATTTTAATATTTAGTTAGATTTGTTATTTTAATTTGACATTTTTATGATTTGCATCTTTATTAGCTTTTCATCAACTCACAAATCACTGTAGTATCATATAAATGTCACAACGTTTTACAAATAGATTCTGTAAAATTCTGTTTAAAACTCACAGGACTCATGTAGCAAAAGTGTGTAGGATAAGTACAGTTGCTGAAGTAGGATTAGAAAGATCAGTATTTTTTTTAAGCAAGTGCTCAGTGAAGTGTTAGCTGATTGTATTTCATGTTCATGTCTCTTGTGATTCCAGGCCAGAAATATCGCTCTGTGTCTTGAATTCAGAGATTCAGATGAAGAGGACGCTCTCCCACTGAAGGTAATGTCTCACACAAACACTAAACACTAAAATAAATTTAAATTGTAATATTTCACAACATTGCTGTTTTTCCTGCATTTTTGATCAACTAATGCCACCTTATGTAGTTTGTGTAACTGTAAGTGATCCTGTAGCTGTCTGCGCTCTGTTTTGTCAGTGTATTTACGGGCGTCCAGGAGGGCCAATGTTCTGTAAGAAAGCATTTGCTCCTGTCTTACACCACCAGCAGAACCCAGAGTTTTATGAAGAGGTGAGACGTTTACCTCTGCGCTCTACATATCTACGTTTGTGTGTTCTTATGGTCAAACTGCTGTGTTGTCTGTGTGTTTGAACGCTTGTTTTTAACGTGTCTAGTTTAAGATAGAGTTGCCGGCTCAGCTGACGGACAGACATCATCTTCTGTTCACTCTCTATCACATCAGCTGTGACAGCAACAGCAAAGCCAGCACTAAGAGACGAGAACAGGTGGAGATACAAGGTGAGAAACACACTCACATACGACCTTCTGAAAGCAGCCTTAACCACTGGACTGAAAATACACAGTGAAAGAGTAAAAAGAGAATCAATATTTAGATCCATTATAACTAATTAAACGCAATGTGTGGGCTGCATACGTTGACATTTTAGGGACACTGTTGCTTGCTAAGTACCATTCCACTCACTCATTCTGTTGTGTTGTGTGTGTGTGTGTGTAATCACTAGCCTTAACCCCTAAAACACCAACTTTAAGTTTTGTGTTAATGAAGATTTCGTGGGTCTGAGGCTAGCAGGTTTAATCAAATTCTGTACAGAAATACTAATAATTATATAATTAAAAAATATATATATATATATAAATATATATATATATATAATTAATAATTAAAAAATAATTTGACCCTCTAACTCTAACACTTTCTATTCTATTTCAATTCGACTTTATCTATATTTATCTTTTTTTATTCTTTATTTAAAAAAAAAAACTAGCTTTCTATTTTTTCTATTCTATCTACTTGTTTTTCTTTGTGTGTGTGTGTGGGTGTGTGTGTAGTGGGTTATGCGTGGCTCCCCTTGCTGAAGGATGGCAGAGTCATCATGAATGAACAGCAGGTGGCAGTGGCTGCAAACCTGCCATCAGGTTACCTGAGTTACCAGGACAACAGCAGCAAGGTGAGAGATTCTGTTAATATTTATCGGGTTTTTTTTTTCGTTTTTTTTAAATGGTGTTTTGTTGTGTTTTTTGAAGTGTTGTTTTTTTGTTGGTTTTTGTTGTTGTTGTAGTTTTGTGTTGTTTTTGTTTAGTTGTATTATATTGTTTTGTTGTATTTTTTGTTTTGTTTTGTTTGGGGTGTTGTCTTTTTGTGTGTGTGTGTGTGTGTGTGTGTGTGTGTGTTTTTTTTGTTGCTGTGTGATGTGCTTTTTGTTTTATGTTTTGTTTGTGGTGCTGTTGTTTTTGTGTGTATCTGTTTCGTTGTATTATGTTGTTTTGTTTTGTTTTTTTGTGTTTTTTATTGTTATATTGTGTTTTATTTTTGTTTTGTTGTATCATGTTGCTTTGTTGTGTTGTTTTTTGTATGTTTGTGTTTTTTGTAGTTGTGTTTTGTTTTGTTGCATTGTGTTATTTTTGTATTTTGTCACATTTTGTTGTTGTATTGAGTTGAGTCGATATGTGTTGGGTTAAGTTGTTAAGGGGTGAATTAGAAATGTGTTGCAAAATTCACCATTGAAGACAATGTCGCGTTAAGCCTTTGCGGGGCCCTGGGCAAACCCCCCCCCTTACATGGTGGTTTTATTCAATTAATTAGTAAATCAAATATGCAATCAAACTCTGTATAAAGACGCGCACGTTATACTCGTGAAATAAAAATAAACAAACACAATGTGCACATCATAATCCCATAAGAGGCTAAAAAGGATGTACATAAATTAAATTAAAATTAAATATCACTCACCACTAAAAGGGATTCTTCCTGCTGTTCTTCTAATACACAAGAAATTATAGAAATTTTAAAAATGTATAATAATTTTGTTTCTCTATTTAACAACATTTACGTACAAAAGTGAAAGATGTCTTCTCTCAGGTAGATTCTCTCAGTTTTCTAGCTGGATGTTGTGCTTACGATCAATAATCACGTCTTATATAATAACCACTGCATTCGCTCAACTGATTTGCAGAAATCAAAACACGAGTTCCGCTCACTGTGAAGCGGGATCGACTAGGCGGCAGAGGATTCCGCTTGGTCTTAAAGCCTTTCTGGAGCGGCTGCATTCACAATTCAAACAATGATTTGGAAAAAGAATAATTAATTTGTTATTTGTATGGTCTAGGTGGTCATACGGTGTATGCCTGCAAATACAGGACAAACTGATGCCTTAAAGGTGACATATCATGAAAATCTGACTTTTCTTGGTTTTAAGTGCTATAATCAATTCCCCAGGGCATCTACCAACCAAGGAAACATGAAAAAGATTAACCCAGTAACTTTGTTTTGGTAAGCCATTTTCTGCAAGCGTCTGAGAAAACGAGAGCGTCTGATTTAGCTCCCTTGGTGACGTGGCAAAGGGATCTCATTATAATATTACCACCCCTTAATCTGTAAGTTTACACCACAGCGCCGTTGTTGTGTTTTCGCAAGTGACAACGGTGTACTAGTTCTAATGCCATGGTGAAAGTTTGAGCAAAACATGCTAACTGTTCTGTCTTTGGCTGCACAGACGAGCACAGAACACTGTTTAGAGTCCCAGCCTCAGAGGAGACAAGAGAGCAGTGGATTTATTGATTTATTTACTGTATATTGCTGCTGCCACACAGATCTAAAATAAACATGCAATTTATTTCCCAGCTGTTTACCTTCACAGACATACCCGTGCTCTCAGAAAAACGTATATCAGAAGTTTAAACTCATATGGTTTAAAAAGCTTGATTTCAGCGTGATAAACATGTTAATCAGAACCAAAACAGATTTTTTTTTAGCAGGTACGAGCTGTAATGGTGCAGCTCTATTCTGGAAAAGGGGGCGGGGAGCAGCAGCTCATTTGCATTTAAAGAGACAGGCCTGAAAAAACAGCGTGTTTCTGCTTTCACTCAAAATATGCATTTTCAAAATTATATAATAAATGATCTGTGGAGTATTTTGAGCTGAAACTTCACAGACACATTCTGGGGACACCAGAGACTTATATTACATATTGTAAAAAGGGGCATAATATCTCTCCTTTAAATACGGGACGATTCCGTATTATACAGAATGGTTGGCAACCCTATTTAAAATGCAAAAGAGGATTGTCTCGGGTGCCCCCTAGTGTTCTGGGCCCTGGACTGCAGCCCATGTTGCCCATTAGGATAACACGGCCCTGATTGAAGTATACAGGCACATATGCTTGAAGTCTGAAATGTGCATAAATGTACATCAATATTTCAATAATTAATCAACACATTCGCATATTCACAGTTGTCGACATGTTCATTGACATGTCGGTTAATGACCATGTGACCATCTTTTTTAGTAAGCGTTACATTTTGAAATGATAAAGGCCTTTTCAGATCCATGTTTCCTGTGCATTAATTAAATATGTGTGTGTGCGTGCGTGTGTGTGTTACAGCAGCACACTGGTCAAGAGGTGAAGTGGGTGGATGGTGGGAGGCCGCTGCTCAAAGTCTCCACACAGCTGGTGTCCACTGTATACACACAGGTATGAAGTGTCCACCTGCACATCTCAGATCAGAATTTTTACATAGTAATCAGATACAAAATGTGATATGGAGCATTAATGCTTATTATTTAACTGTTCTTTCTCATCAGGATCAACATCTGCATAACTTCTTTCATCACTGCCAGAGTATTGAATCCACAGGCCAGTCAGGAGGAGAACTGATCAAATACCTGAAGGTACTTGCTGTTTGTCCTTCCTGAGGATGTTTGAGGCCTGGAGGTGTTTGTTCAGTTCAGTGTGCATTAGCAGGCGTTTCTCACCCATCTCATCCTGAGATCACAGATCTGTCTCTCTCATCCTCTATAGAGTCTGCATGCCATGGAGGCTCATGTGATGGTGAAGTTCCTCCCCACCATACTGAACCAGCTGTTTCGTGTGCTCACCATCTCCGGTCAGGATGATGTTGCTGTGAACGTCACCAGGTCTGTTCTGAGCAGCTTTCACCTGCTGTAGTGTGTCTGTAAAGGCCCGTTCACACCAAGCACGATAACTATAAAGATAACGATAAAGATATAGTTCTAAAAATCGTTCTCAATATTAAAGAATAGCAGAGTCCACACCACAGCTATAACGATAAAGGCACAGAGAAACGATATCGTTGGAATCATTTTCAGAACGATTTTTTTCCAACTGATGAACGATACAAACACTGACAGCCAATCAGAATCAATCCTGCTATAACTAGCTCGAGAATTTAAAGCGGCAGCGCATGTGCACTTATAATAAACAGACGATATCGTTCGCTGGTGTGGATGCTAATATCGTTATCTTTATAGTTATCGTTCTTGGTGTGAACGGGGCTTAACAGTGTTATTTTAGTATGGTTAATATACTATTATATTTTTTAGTAATACTTTGTATTAATTTTTCTTTTAATATTTTCTATTTTAATTTTCATAGTTTTATTTTTAGTCATTTTATGTGCTTTCCTGTTTGTTTTTTTTTGTATAATATGTTTATAATATGTATAATATGTTTTTTTATATAAATTTAGGTTTAATTTATTTTTATTTCAGTTTTAGTTTTATTGTTTTTTATTTATTTACAGTTAGTAATTTTATTGTTACACCTTAAACATATTTTGTTTATTTGCCAATACAACATCTCTAATTTTCATTTAGTTTAAGTTTTTCCATCTAATATTTTTATTTTGTCTAACATTTTGTCTCTTCTCTCGTCAGGGTGATGATTCATGTCGTGGCTCAGTGTCATGAGGAGGGTCTGGAGCATCACTTGCGTTCTTATGTAAAGGTGAGCTGTATCATGATACGTCACACCTTTGCCTTTGTGATGTAAAACAAGTCATTTTGATTATAACCCTGTGTAATCAACATTCTTGTTTTCTTGTGTTTTTGAGTAGTACGTTTTGAAGGCTGAGACTAACTTAACCAATGGTAAAACTGTCCATGAGGACCTGGCAAAAGCCATGACCACCATCCTGAAACCCTCGACGGACTTCCTCACCAGCAACAAACTGCTGAAGGTACAACCAGCGAATCAGATTCAACATCCCTCACAATAAAGAAGTAGACTTCAAGTTTGTTTTATGAAGTATACTAAACTTATTTAGTAAGTATACTAAAATCAGTGTACTAGTAGTATACTTGTAAGTGTACTATTTCAAAACTTTCTAGTAGGGGTGCTCCGACTGATTGGCTACCGATCATTATCGGCCAATAATCACGTTGGGATGATCGATCGGCGGTCTATAAAAAGGCCGATCTCAACAAACCGATCTCAAGCTGATGATGCTGCCGTGAGAGGTTTGGCACGACATGCAGCGGCACCGTCTCAGTCTCTGTCCGGCGCGGGTGAAATAATTATA